GGGTGGGTGGGCGGAAGAGGGCATGGATGGACAGATGGAAGGATGGGCGGGCGGAAGAGGGGAGCGATGGGCAGACAGAAGGACGGATGGACGGGCGGAAGGACAGGTGGGCAGGCGGAAGAGGGGAGGGATGGACAGACGGATGGATGGACGGACGGACGGATGGGGACGTCAGAGGTCCCGCGGCGGGACACTCACTCTCTTTGGCCTTGGACTCCTTGTTGCGGATGATGTAGAGGTACCGGGGGCTCTCGGGGCAGAAGGGGAACATGACCAGCTGTAGGGCCGAGGGGGCCACGGTCAGACCCAGGAGCAGGGGCCAGAGCTCGGGGGTGCCGAGGAGGGAGTCCAGCCCGAACACCTGCCGGGGGCGGAGACAGAGAGAGATTTCAGGACGGCGCCGCCTGCTGGCCCCCCCCGCCCACGGCCGATCCCCCGCCCCCCCGGCCGCACAGCGCCCCCAAGGGCCTGTTACCTGGGCAATGAGGATCCCGATGACTAGGGCCAGTTGGTGCAGGGTCCCCAGCGCCCCCCGCAGGTGGGTGGGGGAAATTTCACCCACGTACATGGGGACCAAGCCAGAAACCAGCCCTGGGGGAGAGGAGAGGGGAACCGCAGATTAGTAGGAGGTGTGGGTGGGGTGGGGGGGAGCGTGCCCCCTAGGTCTGTGGGGAGGAGTTGAGGCAGAGGGTGGTGACCCCTCCCCCACATACACAGTGCCCCCTTTAAAAGGTGGGGCTTGTATGCTAATGACTGAGTCATGGTGGGAGGAGTGGGGGTGTACCTGTGACATGCAGAACCCAATGACGGCCCCTCACCCAGGTCCCGGGGCACCCCACGCAACCAGTCCCCACAGCACCCACTGCTCATCCACCCAGATCCCACCCCCCACCCCGCACCCTACATCGCCCAGCATCCACCACCCCATCCATCCATCCACCCAGGTTCCCCCACCCCCCCGACCCATGGCACCACCCATCCCCCACCCCCTGGCCTCACCCCTCACCCCCATGCTGCTTCGCGGGAGAGGGCGGGGCCCCAGAGCTCCTCCCTCCCAGCCCCCGCCATCCGATTGGCCCACGGGCGCTGTCCATTACCTGAGTAGGCACCAATCAGGAACCGGCCGAGGATCATCATCTCGTAGGAGCAGCCCAGCTTGGCCAGCCCCATGAGGGCCCCGCCCAGGAAGGCCAGGGCGTTATTGATAATCATGGCCCGCTTCCTGGGGGGGGGGGGAGAGAGGCTGAGAAACCAGGGACCCCAGCCCCATGTGCCCTGGCCCCCCCTGGCTGCCCCATCCCGCTCCCCACAGCACAGCGCCCCCTGCTGAGCCCCTGCCCCACTCCCTGCCCCACAGCGCCCCCTAGCGCCGCCCTGTGACCAGCCCCGCCTGCCAGGGGAGAGCGCCCCCTGCTGAGCCCCCTGCCCCACAGCGCCCCCTAGTGCCGCCCTGGGGCCAGCCCCGCCTGCCAGGGGAGAGCACCCCCCCCAGCGGGGGGCAGAGCGGGGTTACCTGCCCAGCCACTCGGAGACGACCCCCACCAGGAAGGAGGAGATCATGCCCCCGATGGAGAAGATGGCGACCGACAGGGACCAGAGGGTGGTGAGCGTGGCGAGGTCGATGGATGCGTTGTGCCGCGCCAGCCAGGTGGCGTTATAGTTCTGCTCGATGATCTGGGAGGGGTCGAGGTGGGGGGAGAAAAGGGGGTCACTGCCCGGTGCCCCTCACTCCCTACCTGCAGCCCTGGGCCCCCCTCCCCTCAGCTTCACACTCCCTGTTTCTTAGGGGTGATGCCGAGGGCCCCATTCCCTGCCCCCCTGAGCCAGCCAGTCCCCACCCTGGGGCTGGGTGGGAGCCGGCGCCCCCTAGTGGGGACAGGCCCCTGCCCCATTCCCCGCCCCCCTGAGCCAGCCAGTCCCCACCCTGGGGCTGGGTGGGAGCCGGCACCCCCTAGAGAGGAAAGCACGTTGGGGGGAGTCTCTTACCTTTTGGGGGGCATTGATCACACCGATGTTGTACCCGCACTGCAGGGACCCCAGCACAGCTGTGAAGACCGACAGCACCAGGGTCGAGGTTATCCCCGGCCCGGCTTGGGGCGGGACTTCGTCCTCCTGCGGAGACACAAGGGGCGCCCCCTGCTGGTGAGCTCCCTGCATCCCCGGGGAGCCGTGGGGGGCGGGACCCCATCCCTCCCTGCCCTCCCGGCACCGCTGCAGGGTAGTTTGCAGCAACAGGTGTGCAAAGCCCCAGGGCAAACACTGAAAGCGTTGCACACCCACCCCCGTGCAACGGTGCCCAGGTTTGCCCCGCCTCTGCATGGCTACGGAAAGGAGGCAAAGCCTCGTGCAACCCCAGAGGGGGCTTGCACTGCCTCGCACGACGGAAGAGGGGTAAGGTGCCCCCCCGGTTGTACAAACACGTACGGATTTCGCAGCGTGCGTGCGAGCTCACACGATCCCCCTGTCCTCTGACTAAGCGTGGCCCGTTCGCTTCCCCTACCATCATCTGCTTTCAGTTCTGCTTCCCACATGACCCCCCCCCCCGACGGAGATTAGGGCCCCGGTGCGCCGGGCGCTGCACAGATAGAGTGAGAAACAATTGCAAAACCACGTACCCCATCCCCATCCCAGGGCCCGACTTATAGGGCAGGGCACCTGTGCGGCTGGCAGACAAGGGGTTGGGCACTTGGCATCGGATCAGGCATGGCTGCACCTCTGAGGGAGGGAGGGAGGGAGAGAGACAGTACGGTCTACTGGTTAGAGCGGGGGGGGGGATGGGAACTAGGACTCCTGGGATCTCTCCCCGGCTCTGGGAGGGGAGTGGGGGCTGGTGGTTAGAGCAGGGGGGGGCTGGGAGCCAGGACTCGTGGGTTCTCTCCCCAGCTCTGGGAGGGGAGTGGGGGCTGGTGGTTAGAGCGGGGGGGGCTGGGAGCCAGGACTCGTGGGTTCTCTCCCCGGCTCTGGGAGGGGAATGGGGGCTGGTGGCTGGAGCAGGGGGGGCTGAGAGCCCGGACGCCTGGGTTCTCTCCCCGGCTCTGGGAGGGATCGGGCACTGAAGTTTCATTCATTCACTGTCTGCTCCAATGCAGTGCCCCCCACCCCCAAAAAACCACCTCTGATTCCATTCACTGTTCTCTCTGCATGGGCAGACCCCGAAAAGGCCATGGGGAACCATGATGGCGGGGGGGAGAGCATGGATTTGGGGAGTCCCCTCCCCATCCCTCCCACCCCCAATGCTGACCCCCTGGGCATTGGTGAGGCCATGGGGGTCGGTGGAGGGATCCCCTGAAATCTCAGGGATTAGCGCCCTTCTTATCAGCGTGTGTGTGGGAGGTGATTATAAAACAGGGGGCCAGATCCCTTCCCACCCCCCCACCTCTGTCCGCATGCTGATGGCCGGGAAGGGCTGGGCCCTGCCCCAGAAAAGCCTTGGCCGGCCTCCGCCGAGAAAAGCCCTTATTAGGCAAAACCCCAAAGCCACAATGCCTAGGAAATGTAAACAGTGAAAGCCTGGGGTGGGTCTGCCCCCCCGCTGCCCCCCCGCGCCCCAGGGTGGGGACTGGCTGGCTCAGGGGGGCAAGGAATGGGGCAGGGGCCTGTCCCCTCTAGGGGGCACTGGCTCCCACCCGGCCCCAGGACAGGGACTGGCTGGCTCAGGGGGGCAGGGAACGGGGCAGGGGCCTGTCCCCTCTAGGGGGCGCCGGTTCCCATTGGGGGGACTGGTGGGAGATGGGGGGCTGG